TATCTTTTTAATTCCTTTAATCGTCATGTGAGCACTCAGATTTATCCCACAAGGGACCGCAGGTTGGGAATCTCTGCTCTACTACATTATTATTTTTTATATATAAAGCCACAATTTTGTAAGAGCATTTTTGATTTCTGTCTTATTTTGGAATAAAATTGTTGACATGTGCAGTGTTTGTTGCTTTTTATCAGATGGTCCAGTGAACATTTCCGTTTCAATGAACCCTCCACACATTGTTGGAGGCAGCAGTGTAAACCTGACCTGCAACAGTGCTGCTAACCCTGCAGCAGACAACTACACCTGGTACAAGAGGACAGCTTCTCCCAGCTCCATGGTCCAGGTGGGCTCAGGACAGGTGATGTCTATTCCCTCTGTGGAGGCGTCCCACACTGGACTCTATCTCTGCCAGGCCAGGAACCTACTGGGGGTGGACAACTCAACTGAGGTTCTGCTGGCCATGAAGGAAGATGAGCATGGTTTGTGTCACTTTACTGTCATCACTGTTTAAAGTTAAAGTTACATTGAATTCAACAGAGAAAGGTTAAGTGACTTGTCTTCATCTACTTTATTCATGTAGAAAATTTTATATTTCTTCTTCATTGTGTATTTAAAGCGGCACAATTTCGTAATTTGTAGTAGCCTAACCGCAGTGTTTTTGTCCACAGGCAGCTTGCCCTTCCCACTCATAGCTGGAGTTGCAGTCTCTCTTCTTGTAACACTTGTGATAGCTCTTCTTTTATTCTGGTGAGTCACTGAAAGATGGAAAGAATGAGTGTGACTGAATGACTCATGGTGTCATTTTTACTGTTACATGCATCTTTGAATTGCATTTCCTTTTTTTACTTTTTAAGTGTGTTTGATCCAATGTTGTCATGCGGCATGTAGTGTCAGTTAATTTCCATTCTGTGGACATTTGGATCCTCATGTATATACATGTATATATAAGTATAGACACACATATATATATATATAAGTATAGACACTTTTAATGTTGGCGTCATTAGCATCTATTCAAAAGATGAATATTATGATGTACAGAATTCCATATATTCTGAGTTATTTCCTTACTCTAATCGTTTTCTATAGTTCATCTCTAACCCAGTGGAAAAAAGTGATGGTCAGTGTGTACTGAGCAGCAGGTTATAGAAGTGTCAAGTTGCTCTGTTGTATTACAAAACAACTTCTCTAAAATGTGACGTCAAAGATTGAGCAACAATGTTCTTTGATATGTATTTCTTTATTTATTAATTGTTTGTTGTCTTGGTAGGAGAAAACAGATGACCCATAAGGAGAAAAAAGTGAGTACATTTAATTTACGTCATTAAGTAACTGTTGTTTAAAGCGTCATTTTTTTTTTTTAAATTTTTTTTTTTTTTTAAATGTGTAGACCTTTAAATTGGACTATAAACTATATAAATGGCATTTTCAGTCTGTGCTTTAGCAAGAGTCCCAACAAATAGTTACGACAAATACTTTCAAAATAATTTCACTTTCTACCAGTTCTATCCTTGTTCATTTCTAAAGTTTTCTTGCCGGACACAAGATGTCTCCTAAAGTCCATTCTCAGTGTTTGTGCACTGGTGGCTTCACACTTCCAAACTACCGTTTTTATGATGTCACAAATCATGCTTGTAGGTCCCACCCATTAAAATCTGATTTTCAATGAGCTCAGAGAAACTTTCCGCTTTCAGCAGATGAATGTGGAAATACATCCCTTTGAGTGTCAAACTGCTGCACAGGCATCATTGCTGTACGGTGAAGATTCAAACATCAAACCATATGGTGAACAAGTAATTAGAATACAGATTTTTTAGTGGAGGGGGACTTTAAAGTGAAATATCTCATACTGATGGATTTTCTTTCTACCCTAAACTCATTATTTTTCCATATCAAAACAGAAACTTTAGTGGCGTGAAAGCATATGCTTACATGTTCCCAATAGGGACGTAAGGAAATAAACTGTAATTCAGAAAATCTAATTTAACTTTTCTTTTCTTGCCCCCAGCAGACTTTGTTTGATCTCAGTGAGAGAGGCTCTAGCGCCTCAGCCACTGAAGATCAATCCAACAGCGTTTATGCCAACTTCCACACTCTCTCCTCTCCTCCACCTGTTACTGGCATCACTCCTCATTCACAGAGGAGCTCAAGCGATAAACATGATGTAAATATGGCGGCACACACAAATGTTGAAAATAACATTTCCACTCACAACAATGAAATGTCTGCAGATTTTGAACACACAGACTCCTCCTCTCCCCTCAGGCCCTCACGTCTTATGAAGATGAGGTTACCTACTCAACAGTGACCATCAAACCCAGAAACCCCAGACATTCTCGTCACATAGACAACAGCAGTGCCCCACAGGACCTCCAGTAGGTTCACTTCTGACCCGTTCATAGCAGTGTGACTTCACTGCACTTTATTACTCACTGTCGGTCAAAGTTCATGTGTGTGATCTTTAGTCACTGTTACTGTACAGTCTTAAATAGTCATCTGACTAATTGATTATTTGATTAAATTTCACAAAAACCATAACTTTCTTCCTCAGTTCCGAAGCAGGAGAGAATGACGACTCTGTGATCTACGCTACAGTGGCTAAATCCAGCTG